CACCTTGTGGCCATCCCGAATGCATCAACAACCATTAGAAAAAAATTGTACAACTGGTCCCTAATCTATTTTTAGAGTAGCAATTTGATCTTCAATTTCTCAAAATGAACAAATTATTTCTTCAAATTCAGGTCGTGTTTGATATGTTACTTTTTCTTAATTATAATAAAATCTATCTATAGGAAGCTCAGCAGTTAAAAATAATATTTTAGTATATTCTGATAAAAGTTAATAAAATGTGTAGTTAAAAAATTGATAGAAGTTGTAAATCTAAAGAAATGTATTATTAAAATTAATTATTGTCTTTGATTTAAATGTTTATAAACTTTTTAAATTATACCCTGGAGCATCTCCAAAGATTCTTTATTTATAAAGAGCATCCTAAGAATTATGGAGAATATTTTTAAATTTAGATAGTCAAAATTTTTATGCACTCCGGTATTACTCTCTATTTTAATAAATAGGGTATTGAAATTTGTAAATTGTTAAATGTAATCATTGTATACATTAAGTCCCTATTTGTCTACCATTATTTGATGAAATCAGATCTAAAACAGTGAATTTTATGAGAGTATGCAGTTAAAAAGTAGGAAATTTTTTTTGAGTTTATGGGTAATATAGTTTATTGTGAGAATGTGTAGTTGAAAAAGAATTTGAGATTTTTTTTTTGAAATAATGGTAGACAAATGGACCGATAAACATCTCCAGAAGACTCTTTTATTTATAGTGTATTTTATGTATTATAGAGAGTATCTTTAAATCTTAAGACTCAAAATTTTTATGCTCTCCAAAATGCTCTTTATTTTAGCCCTTTGTTTTATTTTTCTCAAGAAACTTTTATTGGTTTCTACTCATATTTTATTTTCTATAATTTTTTATATGTCAATGAGCAATCAATTTCAATATGGTTTGAATAAATTAAGAAGTAGAGTATTGAATTTATGACTTATTAATTGCAATCATTGTATATTAAGAATATAAGGTGAGAGTCAAACCCACTTTCTATCTTACAACGTTAAAATAGAGTCATTTGAAAATTATTTTTAAACATTAGCTCTTTAAAATAAAGAACATTTTATATTTAGAGAGTCTCTTATAAATGATCTAAAAATCTAGAGTGATTTGTCTCTCTAAATTAAAAGAGTCAAACTCACTATTTATTTTAAAATGTTAAAATAATGGGTCTCTTGGAACTTCTTTTTTAACATTAGCTCTTCAAAATAAAGAACATTTTATATTTAGCCCTATTTGACAAGAATTAAGACAATTTCTCTCTCAAATTAATTTTCAACAACACATTTTTATAATAAAATATTCTGCACATAAATCCAATTTTTTCTATTTTTTTATTACATTTTTTTCCAAAAAAATCACTATTCCAAAATTCTTTTTTTTTTTTTTTAAAGAAGATGTTTTTAATGATTATCAAATAGGGACTTGGAGAGTGTCTCGGGGATGCTCTAAGAGTTATTTCAAATGTAAAGGGAAGAAAATTGCATTTGAAACCTTGTTCCATAAGAATATAACCAAAAATAATTTTGTTCACTTTTCATTAGGGCTGAACAAAACTCTCGAACTGAACTAAATTGAATCGAACTGTTCTTCTTAAGTTAAATACTCGAACGGGTATATAAATTGAGAACCGACGAGTTTAGTTTTATTTTTCGGTTCTAAATTAAGAATCGAATCTCCCTATTTTTTTAATTAATTTATTTTAAATGAGCCAAATTATTTTATTTTTTCTAAATAAATTTGCTAACTAGTTAATTTAGCTCAAACCTAAAAACATAATTTTCCTATTTCTGATTCTTAGTTCAAAACCAACTTAATCAAATTAATCTAAATTTTATCCAGATCTGTTACTCTACTGTATTGTCATTTCTATCGTTTTGAAGAAATTGAATTGAAACTCGACAATGCCCCTCTTAATTATTGTGAGTTCACTATCTTCTTCTTTCTGTGATTTTAACAATCAAATATCTGAAGAGCTCAACAAAAAGATACGCAAAAGACACATAAAATTAGACTACGTTATTATGTAAGAGTTTTAAGATTGAACATATTATTAATTGAATTAATGTAGCTTTATAAATATTAAAAAATTTAATTATAATATGAAACCTGGAAGCCGAACCTAACCAAATGGTACCAAACCCAAACGGTTCCATAATTAAATTTGAACTCAACGATTCCACTTACTAACACTCAAAATTTTTGGGTCCTGTTCAATTTTCGTTAGAACTGAATCGAATCAAGCGATGTCCAGCCCTACTTTTTATTATGTGTAGGCTAATGGGTAAGTTGAAATACTAAATAAAATTTGAGCCTCAAAGTTGAAATTGTCGGTAAGTTATTAAGCATTTAGGCTTTTATTCTTAATTATTTATTGCTAAAATTGTATTTACGCAGTTTTTTTTATAAAATATGTTAATCGTAGTTTAAACCCTTTCTTGAATACAATTGGAGTGAAAAATGGTGGAATTGAAGCTTAACTCGGAGTTGTTTCGTAGAAATTAAAAAGACTAACCGGATGGCACATTAGTGATTAAAAATAAAAATAGAGCTATCGAAAGAAAATTACAAGTTTCGAGTTGAAATTCAACTTTTGGAAAGTTTGGGGACTCGTAATCAGCAAAATGTTTTAATTTATAATCATGACATCATAGGAATTTGTACCATGCAATAACAAGTGCTTATACGAAGCAAAAATTATTTTAAATTTTGATTTATAAATATAAACCTTCGTCCAACAATCAAACAAGTGCTTATGTTCATTAACTATACACACATTATACAAGCCAAAGTAGGCTTCTAGGATTTCAAATCCACATTTCTTTCATGGAAGAGAGCCAAAGAGGAAGTTTATTGGCACCAACTTTGTTAGAGTGCCCGTTTTGGTTGAAACACTCACATCTTCAGAAGCTTGGTCTGAAGAAGCCTTAGTGCAACCAGTGGCGTTTGTGACTATAGATGGAGTATGCAATCGCCTAAAATCCTGCTTTTATGAAAGGCCCCAAAGATAATTATTACTTGTTCATAAAAAATTACAAATAAAATAAAGTTCAAATGTAATCAACCAAGCCAATTTAACTGCCTAATTAGCAGACGTACTAATTTTTAATTAAAATGTAAACGTCACGTTAGATTGGTCTTTATTTGTAGAAGTATTTAAAGATTAATTATTTAGATGCCTTAGTAAGTCCAATTAAAGTAATCTTGTTTTCCACCCCTTTTTATTTCCCTTAATGGTACTATTTTTGAAGTATTTGAACTTGATATTGGTAATTTAAGAGATAAGGGTTATGACAATGGTTCTAATAAGAAAGGGAAGGATACCTATTTTATTTTTTGAAATATATCGAGAAATTGAATTTGGACATGACAAGATTACTGTTAAAGAAATTATTATTCAAATGAAAGTTGAACATGCATTTCATGAAAAACATATAAATAATAGAAGGAAACACTCTGATTAAAATTTCAATGATGAGATACCATATTCAGTTGAAAAATCTTTTAGAGCTGATTATTTTTTATATATGTTGATTAGGTTCTTTCTTTACATAAGTTAAGGTTTGAACAATTTAAAAAAATATGAAAATATTTTTGGATATTTGTTTGTCCAAAAATATTGAATATTGCAAATCATATATTTTTAAAATGTTGATGTGATAAGTTTGAAAATTTTTCGAACCACAATAGAAATACTGATATTATATTTCTCAAGATTGTAACAATTTATGATTGGATTGGACCACTATAGGGTTTAGGGAAAAAATTCTTTATTTATGTTGCACTTTTGTGTAGTTCACATAATATCCTAATAAACTTAATCAAATTAAGTTTGATTCCTTGTAGAAACTTAAACAAATGTATTATTATTATTTTTTATTTTTTATTTTAAGCGAAAATTGTATCCACACTTAAATGAACACTTATGTTTGGTTCAAAATTTCTCGACAAACTAACTTTGGCGGACCCAGACGACTTGGCTTAGGGGGGCAAAAATAAAATTTATAGGGTATCTTCTAATAAAAAAAACTAAGGAAAAAAAAAAGCTAAGCAATAATTTTTTTTCCCCAAAATCTAGGGGGTCAATTGCCCCTATAAACCCCCCCTAGGTCCGCCCCTACCTACGATTTATGTAACGAAAAAATATTATCCCCACCATATCGCATTGGCATTTGGGAAGTATTTCTTAAAAGTCAAAATAAAGGGCATTTAGGAATTTTAATTTAATCAAGAAAGTAAATTATTGAGAGTATATGTGTGTATTGAGTTATAAGATCTATACACATACCTCAAATAGATATACATATCATCTTTAAAATATTAAATTTCCTTTTCAAGATTATTTCTAAACTAATTAGACTTGAAACTCAAGATTAAAAATCCTTAAATTTTTTGTAAAATCTTGAGATACAATTTGTGTAAAGCCTTTGTTTGTTTACTCCAATGCCGGCCAGCCAAAAGAATCAGCCGGCTAATGTTTATAAATTGTTTATAAACAATCAAATTACTTTTTATTCATATATTTTATGAGACCCACAGGTACTCGTCACTTATCCATCACTATTCTTTATTTATTTAAATTTAAACAAGTTTATAAACACTTTTTAGATAAACTTTAAAGTAAAACAAAATAAAACGAATTTTAGAACTTTTGTTAAGAAGCGATATATTTAGCCATGTTATGAATATCCTATATCTCTTACAATAGAAAAGATTAACGAGACATTTCTTGTTTCTATTGATTAAAAAATAAACTTATTTTTATAGCGAGCGTATAATTTAATTATTTTTCAAGCTATGCTTATCCCATCAAAGCAACCAAAAAGATATGTGACGAGAGGAAACGATCTCCTACTCTCAAAAATAAGTTTCAAAAATATTTTATTTAACTTCTTCAAACGAAAGAAAGGAAAGAAAGGACTAGCAACAAATAATCCCATTTATGGACAGCGCCAATGTGGCATCGGCCATCAAGAATAATTCAATAATAAACTAAGAAACGGCAAAATAATATTCATTCTTCCTGAATTTACGATACATTGAGAGAGACGATACATTCCAGCAAGAAGGAAACCAATCCCTTGTGTGCGTATGTCTCAACTGTCCAGCAAGATTAAAGAAAAAATGAACGATGTTCCTACTTCCTAGAATGAACAAATGTAACAAGAATATCCACATCGAATCTTCTTGAAATCAAGCCCTATCCAAGAGTTTATCGCCTTTACAGACAGGATTTTCCTTCATCAACACAAGCCGAGCTCCAGTCCTGTAATCTAACTTGCATTCATGTTCCTCTGGATATCTATGCATCCCACAAAAACTGCCCCCGCATTTACATCCAAACCCTGTCAATCCAACCTTCTTGTTGCAAGATTCACATCTGTTCTTCACAATTGGAGGATTATTTTCTGCGCTAACTTTAAGAGAATTCATGGCATCAACCAAAGGATCGGTTGACAGATTTTTGGAAACTGAAGAACTGGAGGAGGAAGAAGCAGTTGTTTTGTTGAAGCACATTGTTGCTGCAGATTTAGCTATCTTTTCTTTGAGAAGATCTTGATAGCACTTCGAACACAAACCATGATTTTGTGGGCTTCCATAGAATTCTTGACATCTGTTGCAGAGTTGCGGAGTTCCTAGTTGGGAGTTTTGTATTTTATCCATTATTGGCTACGGCCTCTGGGATAACTCGAGATGACTCGTCTGTATTGTACGGATCAACAACTGAACAGCTCTGATCTTCGGTGACTATAAATCTTCTTTTTCTTACGTGAGTGTGTGTGTTCTATACTGCAAAGAATTTGTTTGTATACATCGTATATTGCTTTGGGAGTTTATGAATGTAGGGACTGAGGGTATTGTTCATTTATATAGAGGGCCTGGGGCAGTCAGATTTATAATAGGATTTTTATATGTGTGTCTGTACATGGTAACATGAACTAAGAGCTGGGAGAAGTTTTGATCAGGTTTCCTTTTATTATGTTTTTCATTAGTAAAGGGACTAGGATAACAGGTTTTCCTTAAAACAGAGGTTCGAACCAAATAAAGTACACTTATAAATTCCTGTTTCATGGATTTTTAATTTCGTTTACATAATAAAGTCTTTTAGTCCAACTCGAGGTATTGTCCAAATAGATAATCTAAAATTAATTAACCAAATAATGGCTTTTAGTTATTTCTAAATAGGGCTCAATGAATATATAAATTTATATTGATTACATAGAAATTTTTAACATAAAAATTCATAACTGAAATAACTAGGTTAGAGAAGTGTCCATGCACAACTGAACGTTAGTAGACTTTGACCTCAAACCTGAAATCATAGAAGAACTCCTCAATAGTACACTCCAATCACAGTTCCAGAACTTCTGGACTTCTTTCTCCCTCGTTGAACACCAAAAAAAACTCGTTATTCAGAATTTGGAACTCCAATCACCTCTCCAAATTTTCAAAACTCTAAAGGCTATTTGGTAAAGGATTTTGTTGATGCTTGATCTTTCGGTATTTTGATATTGTGCTGGAGTCAAGAGAATTATATATAATTGATCTTCAACAAAATATGCCTTGGATATTTATAACATATACGTTTGAGGTTGTTTTAGATTGTAAAAAGGCTAAGAACCTCAATGTAGAGTTTCACCACGTAATACAATTGCTAGAGTGGACTTCGGGTACTCAACAGGCGCTCAACTACTCTAAAAATTACTCGAGTAAAGTGCGTTGGAATGCTAGCTCAATGAGCTACAATTTTTCTAGAATTATCATTTTTTCAGTTTTGATGTTTTCGATGCGAAAAATGGGTCTCAACTTGTGTTTGAGAATTTGGAGCATAACCAATGGCATTTTGACATTTCTTTGACTTCTAATTGCATCACATTGATCATAAGTAATCTTCTTGGATATTTCATGATCTTCTTGAGCAAACTTTGAGTCCTTCCAATGACACTTCCAATACCTGACTTCTCGACCATAATTACAACTCGATTAAATGATATTTTGATCACGAAACTTGCTAACACTTTAGACCTAACAATAACCGTTTTAAGAATGTCAATTTCTATTATCTTAAGTAAGATATTTCTCAAAATCTGCATTCTTAATTTTTAGTGGCGCAAACACTGTATTTTGTAATTTTCCCCCCCTATTTTCTTAGAACGAATTTATTTGTGGGTACTACTACTTAACAAATTCCTTTTGACTAGCAATTGGTAATTTGAATGAATGTATTTTTACCCCCTTGAATAATCTCTTCTTCATCGTTATGTTTCTTTGTCATATCATTTTTGCCATGACAAATTTAAAATATATACTCTCCAACATCCATCACAGTTATATAGTATAGTCCATAGATATGAACATGCACGCTTTGGATGAATTTACATATTGAGATTTTGATATTAGTACGTTACAATCGTAATGACTAAATCTTAGTTTCTTTAACTCCCTTAATATTATCATCTTCTGGACACAGAATACTTATTCTTCAAAGCACATGTATATATACTTTTATAGCAAAGAAAGTAGCTAAAAGAATTGGAATCAAAGTTGTCAGCATATATATTTTTCTTAGTATGTGAAACTGCTTTAATTTGTTTAATTATAAAATTAATGGTATCCTAAAAATTGTTTGATGAGGGGAAGCAATCAGCTATGCTTTAAATTTTCCCAATAGAAACTATAATGAAAAAAAAGAAAAAAAAAAGACGAGAAACAACTAGAAAAGTTAATTTCTAGATTGAATCAATCCCTATGCATGAGTTATATATCCTTTTATTTGAGAAAATCTTAATAGCACTTTGAGCGGAGACCATGATTTTGTTGGAAAATGTATACCTTATTTATCTAGGTAAGGTAATTAGAGAGTCTTTAGAATTATACATGCTAACTTTCCTAATTAAATACCGTTACTGTATTCATAAAAATTCTAGTAGAATCGACTGTGATACTTATATTCTAATTGAATGAATACGTGTACAATAGATCATGCATTAGTTGATTCGTATATTCATGAATCATGTTGGGAATAATTGGAAATTAATGTTTAATACATTTGACTAGATCAGATGCATGTTTGTAAAGCCTATAAAATGCTAGTCATTTTATTCATTTTCATAAGTCAATTTGGAGAGTTAAAGAAATGAAGTCGAGTTTTAAAAATTGTTGTTTCATTTCCAAATTTTCAACGAAAGTAGTAATAGAGCAAGTTATAGGAGTGTGAAAAGAAGAGATGGCAACAATAATTATCTTCCCCGTTCTCAACTCACTAATGACAACTATAACACGTGGTGCATTCATATGAAGACATATCTTGGAAGTCAAGATTTGTGGACCTCATAATAATTAAAGAAGGCATGTCTCAAGTAAAAAGAGAATTGCAACAATCAGCTAAGAGAAAGGATTAAAAAATTCTAAGCACAAATTATCAAGCTCTTGGTGTTACAATTTTTCAAAAGATGTCAAATACTCAAAGCAAGCATGGGAGATTCTAAAAACACATACAAAGATGCAATCAAAGTGAAAAAGTTCATCTTCAATCTTTTAGAGCGAAATATGAAGCCCTATCCATGAAGGAATATGAATCAATTTTAGATTACTCTTCGTAAATTTGATAGTTGTCAACGAGATGAAAAGGTTTGATGAGAAAGTAAGTGAACAAAAATTTTTTTTTGACCTTTACATGAAAAAAATAGTTTTATTATGGTGGCAATCTAATTATCATAAAATTTGGAAGAAATTATTATTGATGAAGTTGTGGGCAAGTTACAAGCTCACGAGGAAAGATTATAAAAATATAAAATAAAATAAAGAATCAATGGAACAAGTCTTTTTTGAAAGACAAGGAAGAGAAAAATCATATGAATCAAAGAGGTAGAGGACGTAGAAGAGAAGATAGAAATTTTAAATATTTCCTTCCAAAAATGAAGGGAAATATCAAAATTGACAATTCAAGAAGGTGAGGAACACGTAACTCTCAAAGAGGTGAAGGAAGAAAAAAACAATGGTGGGAACTATGATAAATCTCAAATTGAATGTTACAATTGGCACATACTTGGGGTCATTTTGCATGAGAGTGTAGGAGTAATAACGTGAAGGCAAGTCCAGCTACGTTGAAAATAAAGACACAGAAAAAGAAATTTTACTCTTAATGCTACAAGAAGGAGAAAACAATTCTTTGTACTTATACGTCAAAGCAAAATAATCATATATGTGACAAATCTATTTTCATGGAACTCGAAGAAATTAATGGACGTGTTACATTTGGTGATGATTCGAAGGTGAAAGTCAAGGGAAAAAGTAAAATTTAATGAAGAGCGAAGAACACCAATACATTTTAAATGTTTACTATGTTCCTTCTAAGAAGACAAATAATTTGGTCAACTTTTGAATATAGACCAACTTTTAGCTACAAGGGTAAAACTATTTGTACACCATGGTTTATAATTCCCTCACATGTTGAGGGGGGCCACATGAATTAGAAATCTGTGGGCCAGCACTTAGTCCTATACACCAAGCATAACCCTTAGCTACAATCATCTGCAAATGCTTCCAGACACCAACTTGTTATACTAAGTTTGAAATCGAAGGTGAGCATCATATAGAAATTCCGACCTTTCATGACGAGCATTGCCCCTAAAGCTTCATCTTGTAGATGTTCAGATGATGGATGTCTTACCCTGAAAACTTATCCATCTTTAGAATTTTGAAATCAATAATTCAATAAAGATCGACTTGCCTTTGATCTCTTTTGAGAAAACAAGTTTTCATCATGTCGTCCAATTTTTGGGCTGGGGTTCCTCGTCCTTGTCCTGCATTTGAAAATGCTTCATATTCTCATTATGGCGACTAATAGGGATGTGAGGGGTGTCCATGATAGCTCCTCGCTCCCATCGAGTCTATCGAAGCACTGTTGGACGCTAAGGGTTTCCTTTCTCCTTCCCTCCGTTGGACCGCTTGCGGCTTGGGATGGTAATCTGGCTCGTGCCGCCCGTGGCTCGACTCGAAAAAAGCTCGAGCCCGTCCGACTTGAGGCTCGGGTCGAGCCCCACTTTTAGGTGCCGGACAAAGTTCGAGCCGGCTCGAGACAACCGATCATATATTTAATTAAAAAAAATTAAAGGCAGGTTGCTCTGCTGCCTTTTAAAAAAAAAAATCTAAAACCAAACAAAACTTGAGCTGGCTCGGCTTGGGTCGAGCCTAATTTTTTTTTTTGTCGAGCTTTTGCTCGGTTCAGCTCGAGCTCGAATATTTTACTCAAAGTGAGCCCGAGCCTAAAATTTCGAATCGACTCGTTGACATCCCTATTTGGGGCGGTCATGAAGGTTCCATCTGTTTGGTGGAATGAAGCATCCTGAGATATATGGTTACTATGGGCATTGGCACTCAAAAAGACTTTATTGGTTTCGATCAACCATGCTAGATATTTAAGTTCAATGATGGATTTTCATTTTTAGAAATCTTTTAGCAATTTATCATTGGAAATTTGAAAAAAAAAAAAAAAGACAAAAACACTCAATCATAACCTGTCAAATCACCCTATTTTCTACAGTCTATTTGCAATCCATGTCCAACCAGCTTTATTTTTCAATACCTTCTGCCATCGAAAGCCATTGATTTGTTAGTTAATCATTGTCCTCATCTGGACATTCTCCTCCTCCAACTGTTGGACATCCTGTGGCAAGTACGTATATCAATGTCAAGGAATTGACAAGATAGTGTCCTTTGTAGCCTAAAAGTCTAAACGATTGTTGATCCCTAAAGGTATGCTGATGTGGCATACGATATTGGAGGACTTCAGTGAAATGAAAAGATTCTTTTTCTTTTTTCTAATAATTCAATTGAAATTGTTCTATATACCCGTTGTTTGAGCTTCATGATATATAATTAGTTTTTGAATGTATTTTGTAATAGTAATTTTAAATTTTAAATTTACGTATAATATAATTTTATTGAATAATGTGATTAAAAAGAAGAGAGAAAAATAATTTTAGAATGAATGGATTCCAAACCAAAGTATGGTAAATACCAATACTTTTAACCCATAATTTTGTTAAATATTATAACTTGGTATTCAAATATGCCCTCAACATATTTTAAAAGTAAATTTATATTGGTGTTCTTTGGAGTTGCATCGCTTGGGAAATGCATTAGTGCTCCATAATACTAAGAGATTAACATAAATAAAGTAAAAAGACTTCATGTAAAAGTACTTTCAAACCCCGTTTGAAAAACCCAAAAAAAGGGGTTATATTCGATAAAATAGTATTTTGAAAACAAAAAAGGGGTTGCGTTCGATAAAAATAGTATTTTTGGATCATACCAAAACAATATTATAATTTAGTCATCATTTGATAAAATTTATAAGTTATCTATAAATGATTAAACTTTATTTTCAATTACACATTTCATGAACTCACATGTATTATCCAATTATCCACCGCTCGTAATTATCTATTTATAGATTAAATTATTAATAAATTCTTCCCTAAGAAAGCTAAATTACATGTTAAAACATTGACTGTCATTGAACTTGTAACAAAGTTTCGATTGACTTGATAAACTAGATTCGTATTAATCAAATAACCCAATTTCATGCCACTTGTTTAGACTTAAAAATCAAATTAGAATTTTCAGTACAGACACGAAGAAATGGAATTTCAATAACGAGTTTGAAAGAAGCGGAAATGATTTTCTAAGCACCGGTGATATGGCACGCATTTGCGAGTCAAAATCCTTGAACTTTGATTTTATGAATGGGAAATTTGTACTTCTTGTCTCCAATTTTTATGAAATATAAAAATCTATCATCAACATTTTATCCTAAATCTTTCAATTATGTAAAAAGACTGGCCAATTCTTTCATTTTGGCCATAAAATGTCGAGTTTGCCCTTCTCTTTTAAGGAACAAAAATAAAAGAAAACGGTAAAATAATTTTTTTTTTAAAAAATTAGAAAAAAAAAATTGTAAATAGAGTCATGGAACTTTTCAAGAACTACAAATAAATCTCAATTGAACAATTAAATATATAATAACACATAAAATTAGAATTTAGAAAAATTCATTTTCCCCAGACAAACTCACGCAACATTCACAACACCCTATCCCACTCATCTTAATCCACCTATGTGCTAGCTACAAAACTAGGGGGTGTCAATTTAGTTCGCAAGTGGTTCGAACTCGAAGAAGGCCCTTAGTCTGCCCTACTCGAGGCTTGGGTTGAGCCCTATTTTGAAAAGTCGGTCCTGGCTCGAGCCACATGAGCAAGTTCGTGTCATGAGTTAATTTTAGCCTGTGATGAGCAGACCCATAAAAAAAGTTTGTTACAAGCGGTGACAGCTTTTGGCAATAGCAAATAGGCAGTTATGTTTTATATTAAAAAAATAAAAATGGGCTGGCTTATATTTTTGGTCCTTTTTTTTGTTGGTGGGGCCCGTTTCTTCAATTTTTTTTATTTGTTTTTTTGGTTTTTTTTTTCTTTTTGTATTTAAAAAAGTTCAATGACCTTTTTGGACCTTTGGCAAAGTTTAGTAACCATTTGGGCTATTGACTCCTATATTTATTACTAATTTGTAATTTTTTGAAATTTTGGAGTATTAGTTACAATTAATTCTCTTGTTTTCTATTCTATTCTTTTTCTTTTATTTGAATAGAGAGCAAAATCGTCAAAAAACAGTGAAAAGGACCTTCAGCGCAAGAAAGGTGGTAAATAAGGGCAAAAATGCCAAAAAATGAAAGATATGGACGTTTTCCATAATAACCTCGAAAGGTAAGGATGTTTTGCGCCAATTATCCTTAATTTTTTCTTAGTTCGAAGGGTAACTTATTGACGCAATTGGTAAAGCCCCATTAAAAACAACTCCACCTTATTATTCAAATTAAAAATTAGGTAAGCCTAATTTTCAAAACAAAATATGGGTTTATCATCCAATAGTGTTAGTTGGATACTAATCCACTTATACTCCGGTACTATATAGACAAAAGATACATGCAGAATTCTATGCAAAAGGAATAGGTGTGGAACTATAGAGAAGAATCCCATATGGAAGACCTAGTGCCTCTTAAGAGTTCTGACAGGAAGAGAGACAGAGCCAATTTCTGTTCCATTTGTTTGGGAAGAAAAACCTGGGACACCCAAGAAAGATTGGAAACCGATCCCTCGACCGATTAACCCCGTTGTGCTGCCAGTCAAGCTTGTTGCATCTATTCCCTTTGGATGGGAAGAGAAGCCCGGAAAACCACTTCCATGTTTCTCACTGTCACTGCCTGAATCAGAACCTGCACTGCCACAGACAATGAGCATCGGTTTCCTATCACCTCCCAAGTTCAGACTGTCAAGATGAAGAAGGAAGTGAGGAAGATATTGAGGATAACAGAGAAGGAGACGATGCGCTTGATTCGGAGATTGACACGTGCAGTTTCGTAATGGGCGATTCCTTCAGCTCCGCTCCATCTCTCCTAGCCAATGGCCTAATATCAAGCTCGGCACTCTTCAATTCAGTTCCCAAGCAGCAAACTTTACTTACACTGACAACAATCAATGGTGGGCAAGACCGAACTCCTGGTTCACCAGAAACAGACAGCAGCACAAGCAGATGTGCAACAGTAACCACAAGCTTGGTTGGAGCTTCGTTCTTGGAGCGGCTCTTTCCTCTTCTATCACCTCGGTCAAGTCTCCTTGACAACAGTGGCTGCTTAGAGAAGGACACTTCTCCCGCAGCAGATGCACAAAATATATATTTGCTACATGAAAGCAACGGCAGTCTTGTAAAAAGACCACTGCTGACGCTTGGAGAGATGATAATGATGAGCCGAAGAATGAGTTACAAAAGGAAAGCAAATAAAATTCATAAACAGCCATCCAGGGTAACTTTATTCTTTCCTGCTTTTCCCTAATGATTCAATCAGCAGTAATTAGATGTTCTTGATGCTAGTAAATACCATAGATTTATAGTAGAATTACCCGACTGCACAAATCCATGCCTCTAAGTTGAGATGGCTTTTAATTCTGCACCTTTTGCATGACAGGATCTTATTAAGGGGAATGCATTGGGTTGCTGCATCTTTGGACCTGGCAAAGGCATCACTGGATTGCACAGGAAGTGGAAGAGAAAGCTGCAACTAAAACTGATGTAGAAAAATCAGCAATCTGGTTTATAGTTTCATGCAAATATTTTGCTGCAACAAGTCAAACTCCAGTTCATTCCATTCTGAAACGTGGAATTATTACGAGTTTCTGCACATAACGAAAAGATTTGAATTACATCAATAACATCAGGATTATGACTCCAAATAAAACAATGATGATGGCACATTAAATCCTCAAAATATGCAATTAGTATAAAGCCTGGCCATTTAGATCCAATAATTCAAGTATCACAATGTTTTATGCAGAACGTTTACAAGTTTCAACAACTTTACTGATTCTTTCTATTACTAGAGGAATCTCCTTTTCATTTAATGTTGTAAAACAGCATCTGAACCATCCAGGTTCAATACAATGGCAGGCTGACCCAGGAGTTACATTAATCTTGGCTATATTTGAAAGTTTATCCCAGAGCTCAAGCTCCCCTTTCTCATTGTAAGGGCTGATTAATCTGCTCATATCAACCCAGCAACATAAACCCGCACTGCTTTTTGCAGATTCAATTCCCAGCTCTCTCAAACCCTCTACAAATAAATCATGCATCTTCTTTATTCTTTCTCTATTTGTCTTCATGTATTCCCGGGTAAATTTTATATCAGAAAGCATTGAAACTACTAGTCTCTGGGTTGGAGCTGAAATGGAAGCAAATCTTGCTAATTTCCTGGAAGCAGCCAAAACATTTTCATTGAAGGAATATATTACTCCAACTTTGAAACCAGGGAGAGAGAAATCTTTCGACAGCCCATATATGATATGAACCCTATCCCTGTCAGAATCTTCAGAGCCGAGTATCTGTGCCATGCTTACAAATTCCTCGTTGCCATACATTGAACCAGCAAATATTTCATCAGATATTATATGAATGTTCCTCTCTCTGGCAAAGTCTAGGAGATTGTAGAGCATATCCATGGACAGCACGTTTCCAACTGGATTAGAAGGATTTGAAATGAGTACTCCACGGACCTTTTGACCTCGTTTTCTTGCCTGATTAAAGGCTTGATCAAGAGCCTTTATATTTAAAGTGAAGTCATCACAGCTACGACAGTGAACAGGAATTAGCTCGACACCTGTTCGCCATCTCATGTCCCTATCAAAACTGCAGGTAGATAATATTGTTACTTCAGGCTTAAAGCAAGAAAAAGGTGAAAAGCAGAAGCAAATCAAACTGAAAGAAAACAAATAATAAAAGAAGATATAAACTCATAATTGGATATCAACTGTACATTATTGTAGTATAAAAAAGAATATATATTACCCAGGATAATAGGGTGTGGGAACAAGGAATGCATTCCCTTGGTCAGCCAAGCAAAAACTGAGTATCTCAAGTGCAGGAGTTGCGCCAGATAATAACACCACTGATGATGGGTTAAACGATATCGTTCTTCCCATAACTTCAGTCATAAAACCAGCCATGGCCTGCAGATTTTGAAAATATTTACATATTTAATACAAATTACTACACTCCAGTAAATGCAGGATTCACCTAACAGAACGAAATGAAGGACATTAATGATTACTGAACAATATATATATATATATATATATATAGACACTATTTGCCTCATTCGACCAAAGAGATGAATCTGAAAGATTTGAAACTACATATGAGATCACTAACTGTTTGTTTCTCACAAGGCAATTATAATTTTCTTTTGTGGTTCCTCTCTTTTAGGCCCCCTACATGCACGTAAAGTTAAAATTATTCATTCACTATATCTAGCATTTAAGAGCCCCAGCGAGAAATCAACATCGCGAACTAACATATTGTATCCTTCGTAGTCATCCACATATAATATAGGTGAGAGAAATTTCTATAGCAAAACAATATCATCAATGAACCCACATGCTCTCAAATATCAACTTCAGGCAGCCTAAATGCCCGTCAATTAAGTTTGTGATATTAACAAGCATGTCTGGCTAAGCTTAAATAGTTAACATAAGTAAGTTTCAAATAAATAATTTTTTTTATTGATCAAAATAGGAAATAAGCAAGTTGCTGTCTAATCCAGTAACTTATCCAAATATGTTTGGAGATGGAAAAATATTCAAAAGCCGAAATATTTCTGAACATGAGTCACATTATGGCAACATCAAATAGCATTTAGAGGCTCACACTATCTAATCAACATTTGAAATTTAAATTTTGCGAGCCTTTTACATTTCTGATCAAAGATTATAACATTGATAGCTTAATTACACATTACCACTTTCAGCTCCATCAGTCCATCCGCGGGTCGGTATGTAGCAATTCCACAAATGTTCAGGTCATTGCCCCCTTCTCCGAGCATTGAAGCACTCAAATTTTTCGAAAGCCACTCCTCAATCAAATCTAAAGATAACTTCAAAAGGAAGGAAAAAAAAAAACAATCAGAATTTAATTCCTAAAAATGCAGAATATCAAATAAGTATAAATTAGAAAAAAAAAGATGGAATTATTCATAAATCATTACCCTATTTTCCGATAACCCAAGCTGAATAATCCCATTCGGGTTATTTATTTCGTCATATGGGTCCTCCTGGACCCTATCCAATCCAATATAATACGGGGAATCATTAGGCTTGGCAATGGAGCTCGCCCTAGATGAGACGTGGACGCGCCCAATGGATCCACGCGTCAGCAAATTGGCGCGCGATGAAGAGCGAGGCAGTTCCGTGAGGTTCTCCGCCGAAGTGGACGGCGACAGAGTTTTAGAAGAACGGTGTCGTTTGAGGTAAACCTGAAGGAAATAGACCAAAGCGCAAGGAATTAGCGAGCCTAGGAGTAATCCACCCCTTCCCTGAACTATTCCTTGTAAGGGTACTATGAGCCTCATGCCGGTACGGGTCGGTTTTCGGGATCCGGGTTCGAGTTCAGATTCCGGGTTTCGGGTCATGTGAATAGTCAAGGGAGGAGAGAAGGTTGCCGGAAGCGTGCAGAGGCGGCGAAGGATTTTTGGTAGTTAGGAAGTAGAGTGTTAATTTTGTTTGTGGGTTTCCAGAAGTTTGACGATGTTT